ATAACAAAATTCCTCAACTTTAGTACCATGAGATTTAAGCCTGGGTTCTAATCCTGCCTCTGACTGTAATTAGATTTGGAACTGGAAAAGCCGCTAAACGGCACGTTCCTCTGCTGAGAAATGAAAATTAGCTTATGAAATAACCTAAGATCTCTTCTCTACCTTGTAAGTGCACCAAGGAAACGCCATAAGCAAAATCCAGTCTGAGAAATTATACAGAACAAAAAAACTACAGGAAAAAAAAGGACAGGGAGAATCTATATTTTAAAGGATACTTAAAAAACATCACACAATTCCAAGGTAGGTATCTTATTTTAGTTCCAGATTTGAACAGATTTTTTAAAAAAAAAAAAAAATCAAACAATCAGGGTCATTTGAGCACAGACTAGATATTTGATGATATTAATGAATTGCTAATTTTTCTAAGTGGGCTAATCTTATCATTCGTGCTTTCTTTTTTAGATACGTAATTTTAAAAATTCTGAAGATGATATGTCTAGATTCTGTTTCTAAATAATCCAAGGGCAAGGGGAAAAGGAAGAATTAAGGGTACATAGTTTGCCTGAGAGTTCACTACAACTGAAGCTGTGTGATAGGTACAAAGGGACATTAAATGACTCTTTACTTTTATATGTATTTTTAAATTTCCATACTAAGTTTTACAATTCTATATTCTTATTGCTTCTCTAAATCCGATAAGAAACCTAAGTGTCATTCTACCAAGATAAGTGCAAATAAAACTGCAAACATTGTGCTGGTATAAATTTATTTAGTCAGAGCTTTCAGTATGCCATTTGTAACATTAAGGAAACCAAATGTTAAAACATCTAGAGTTATGCTTACACATACTTTACTAAGGTAAAAAGAAATTCAAATTCTGAAATGCTCTGACAACTTGAATCAAACATCAGTAGGCACAATGTGTAATTTATACCAAAACTAATACATTCTTAGGTTGCTGTACAACACAATGACGTGGCAGCAGGGCTTTTAATAAGATTCCCAGCCCTAACTCCCAGAAGGTCTCCCTAAAATCTGTATTAAAAACAACAACAACAAAAACAAAAACCTGAAAAAGTAATTCTAATGTACAACCAAGGATGAAAATGACTGCCTTAAGAGGTAATTACACAGACACAGAAGGGTTTTCAGAACACATCTTGTAAGATAACAGATACAGTAGGACCCCTCCATATCTGTGGGTTCCAAATCTATGAATTCAACCAACTACCACATATCGAAAATATTTGGGGAAAAAAACACAAAAATAATAATTAAAAAAACACAAATAAAAAAGTACAGTATGACAATTATTTACGCATTTACACTGTATTAAATATTATACATAATGATTTAAAGTACTATAATATATCCATTTTTCATTCTCATTTAGCATAAGAGTGATGAAATTCATCAAATTATTCATTTTTAGTTAACAGTAGCTATTTCCAAAAAAACTAAACCAAAAGCCTTCAGAATAAGCTAAGTAATAGAATACTTATAAATTAGAGACAAATAATTTTTCACCATTACCAATCAAAACATAACGGACTCCATAAGAAACCTAGATTTTTTTTCCATTCTAAAAAAACTCTGATGTAGTAAGCAAATTCCTAAATAACAAATTCTCAGATAGAAATTACAATGAAATGGGTGCTTGTGGACTATCATCTCTGGGGCAATATGGAATGTCTCATTAATATGAAAACAACATAAGAGTGATTCCAGGGAGCAATGAAACTGTAACAAGACTACTTCTATTTTAAGATTCACACCAAATCAACGTACATTTTTAATGGTTTTCCAAAAATTGTTTCAGACTGTGACAAGGTAAACCAGCTACTATAAAAAGTGCAAGTATTGCTAGCAAGTTTCCCGAAGGGTTGGAAGAACTAATCATTCAAGGCCCCAAAATAAATCTGACTTTACAACCTTATTCAGTCATTCAATAAGAATTCCCTCAGATCCTCTAGTATTCAGTGGTCCTGTAATACCATATATGGTACAGAAACTCTGAAACTTCATCTGGATCACAGAAGCAAAAAACTGTCCAAAGGCGCCATCAAAAAATCAATACAAATAAAAGATACAGTCATTAGAGAATAATAAAGATGATATGTAATTCTATGCTAAATTGTGTTACAGAGTACACATGTTAACTACACACATACTTAATAAATGAGAGACACAGCTTTATGGAAGAGGTACTTACTGAGAAGAGAGGGAAAGGTGAAGAGAAACTATGGCACCAAAGTATTACAGACACACCTGAAAATTTTCTAAAAGCTTTGCTGCCTGATCCTTCTCAATTTTGGCTCACAAACGGTTTTCTTCCACTGGACTTAAAATAGGCAAGCTGGTATTGGCAGAGCTAACTAATATATT